CATCAGTGACATATAAAAGACGGCTATGTTCGCCGGCTACGGTCGCCGTTAACGCGTGCCGGCTTGGAAGTTTCCCGAAACGTTCTTTGCGTCGACGGATTTCGAGTTGGGAAAATTGCAGGGTTTTCTGCAATTTCTGGCGGACTTTCCGTACTGGTCATGGTACCAGCACCAATCAGGATTATCCGTCTCTCGAGTTCTAGATACAGATCGCCTACGTAATGTGCTTTTCCTCTGGGTAAGTGATCGTTTACGGTCGTTACAGAGTTTGAGATAACGCGTAAGTGTATGACATAACTGTGTTATGTCATTCTGGGTCGTTTGAGGCTTTTCTTTGACTGAAAAAACCTAGGCGTTAGAAGACCTAGTGATTTCGAGAATGCGGTCGGCAGATGCAGCCAGCTCGTCTACGGCGTTGTTTTGGAACGAGACCAGCACAGCTTGCACCTGTTGAGGAAGTTTGGATAAGAAAAGTTGTTTGAATAGGCCGTCATCGAAGGTTCTTTGGCCAATGACTTCTCGCATTCTTTGCAACATGTCTGTGGCAGAGCCGTGTTGCAGGTCGATGTTGTTGAGGAGTTGGTCTAACCTTTGTCGATCGGTTAGATCTCCGCGTTTAAGGATGGCATGTTTCAGGGTTTGGTATGGATCAGAAACATCACTAGTAAACATACTAGGTGTTACGTACCTGTTAAATTCGCGCGCTAGTGCTTTGACTACTGCGAGGAATTGTGTACGCGCATCGTTCACACCGTGCTCGAAGAAGTCGGCTTCTGCGTAACAAAACCAGACTTCGATGTTGTCTGGCCAGAAAGGTATAAGTTGAAAAGAGGGTGAGGACACAGTCTTTAACTTAAATACTTTAGGGGTCTGTTCAGTCATAGTAATATATTAAGTACGAAAAGTGAACGAGTGGGAAATATATATATAAACCCGAAAACACGGGAAAAATATCACAATGTTAAAAAAAATAAAGATTAAAATAAGACAATGATATATAAAATCACAACAAGGAACAGACTCACAGTTTACGGTATGGTGTACCAGATCACGTCGGGCTCACCAATGAAGATGCCACAGGTATTCGGAGTTTGACAACGCTTTAACCAGTAACACCTTCTAATACGAAGCGCACCCACCAAGTAAAATCAAAAGACAGAAGTGAGGAGATCGAAGATATATTTGATAAGCTATCAATATATCGAGGATCGTTTGCACTAATCTGGCTAGCGATTGCGGCAGATGTTGAGCACAGCGTTCCCACACGTGATCTGGTGCGGATGCTTGACCGAGCGCCTTCAGCTAGATGAGTCCACTAAAACTGTTGTCAGCATCCAATGTCGAAAACTTACAGAGCTATTTGATTTTGGGGAATTATTTACCGCTACAAACCCTTATCTGACTCCAATCGGATCGCATAAGTGTTATTTATTATTATTGAGATATTCATTTCGTCAATCCTCGTATATAATTATCGATTTAATCTTCGTTAGTGAATATAACGGAATTAAATAATCCGATTACGAGAATAGATTTTGAATATCTATATTTTTTACACAGTGTAACGACCGAGCTGCCAGTATTCGGTTTGAACGCAGGACTGACGAATCAGAATGTATTCGAATAGGCCAGACTACGTTCTTCTGTATAGTGTACGAAGCGTTCTTGAGATACTCGTATTAAATTATGTCAAATCACAATTGCTGTGCTCAATTTACACGGTTCTAATTTAAAAGGTAGAACAAATTATATTAAAAATACCTAATACCTCAAACGTTACAGCCAGTTCTATAAAGTCAAAAGTTTTTCTAAACAATAAAAGAAACAGTTAATATCAAATGATTCGATACCTGAGAATCAATAAAAATATTCCCAAAAAGATGGGATCAGATATCTATCTACAGGGATTCCAGCAATCCTCCTAAGCAGACAGTCAAAAGGTTTACAGTCACACACTAAATCACTGCGTGGCCTTGAGCTTAGTCAAAAGATGTGGTTAGACTACATCTGAACTAAGGTTAAAATACACGACAGGGAGAAGGAACAAATAAATGACAGTACTGTCCGACAGAAAAACTGCATAGGGATTTTCATCTTTCTCTTTCCGTTATACCGGCTCCAAAATTCTCTTCAGCTACTCAAAGACACCTTAGTATATATTCCTATCATGGCTCTCCTTACTGACTGTTCTACATCAATGGGAAGCACAGGATTTACAACAGTACGCCTGTCTCCATCGCTTTGAATACCTAGCTGCAATACTACACTCCATCCCTAAACCATCACAGTCTCTTAGTAGTAACAGAGTGTTTGGCGTGAGCGCCAAGTCATCCTTTTCATCTGATGTCACAAAAACGAATGGACGGTTGTTTAAAATTCTCCCTGTCTCCACAAAATAGGTTGCTCAACTACCATCACGTAAGATTTGTTCGTTAGAAATAGATAGTAAGATCCTCCGAACAGAGCTAGTGGGGGGTTGAAATTTCAACGTATACCCCTCGATGTTGTGAAGTCGTTTATTCTATACTTGTCCCATACACTTATATTAGCTCGCAACTCAGAAGTAGCCCCGACAAAGTTAGTTCCATTGTCATTGTAGATTCCCTTCGGAGTTTTTCTCCTTCCTATGATACGTATTAAAGCCATTATGAAAGCATCAGTACTCAAGTTGAAAGCTACTTCCAAGCGTGCGGCATGTGTTTAGAGACATAAATAGGCATCCATATCTTTTTTCTCACTTCTTCCCCGACGAACTATCAACGGCCCAAAATAGTCTATTCCGACGGAGGAGAAACAGAACCAACCTTGCTGAATTCGACACTCAGGGAGAGGTGCCATCATCTGTTGGCCCGATGTGGCTTTCGCAAGTATACACCTCAGACATCTACCTTCCACTCGTTTAACTACACTTGCGATGTCCCAGTGTGACCTTCTAGGTGATGGTAGTGTCTAATAATAAGTTCTGTCACGGAGTGATGATTGGGTAAAATTACGGAATGTTTGACTGAAAGTGGATAATCCGAGCAATCCATCGATTAACGTAGGGAAAATATTGTGTAGCTCTTTTATATCAGTTGCGCTTACGCGATTGTATCGAGACACTTTACTGCTTCCCCATACACTTCGGCATCTGAGCAATGTTGAGAACAAGAAATACTATTTTGTTTGTGTTCAGTATTATTTTACTGCTCATAAAATAATATATCATGTCGCTTTATTGCTAGTCTGTGTTCGTGTGTACGTTGATAAATAGATTTTCTACATGAACATAGGCTGAGAATAAAATTTGATCGTATCCCACCACCCACATCAATCCACCTAGGCAACAAAGGACGTTAATTTGACAGGAAGAGCATTACACTTCATTAAAGGTGAAATGTGCTAAGTGCTGCGATATTGTTTGGCGCATATATATTTGGTGCCCCCCTGTACCAATATTCATGTGTTCAAATAAATAATAAGTAAATAAATTGTCACAAGGAAGTTACTTTACTCTGAGATTTAAAGGAGCTGATAAGTAATGATAAATTGTGTCGCCACATCACTAAGTAAAATGACAGAGAAATGTTATACACATGGTATGGTGATTTCTGAAAGGCCTGACTATCTTCACCATAGTAGTTTGCATATTATTCTTTCACAGATTTGACTATACAACGAGTTATTCAATGTCATATGGTCATTAAACTTGATAAACCCCTTGTTCAATAACTCTGTTCTGGCTCGGGTTACATTCTTTGGATTACATATTTGACTTTGTGGTTGAGAAAGTACAAATATTTTTACCTATTTTGACCCGATGAATTGTAGATCAATTATGATGGTTGTATATACATGATTAACCTCTTTCATTTAGCTGACTGGAAAGAATAATTTAACATGGTATTTGAAAAGTCTATTAGGATCTCCAAGTTTTATGCAAATCTGCTTTTCTTGATTCTTTAGAGGTTTAGTGCACACCTACATGTTTATTTGATATGCAGGTGTCTTTTCTCATATCATATGTTGTAGGTACTTTAACTCACACTTTTTATGGTTGCTTTCACTAATCATAATGTAAATATGATGTAACAGTTAAGCATCAAATGAAGAGCTCTTTATTCGATTCCCAAGTTTCAGATTGAAGCTCGACCTCATCTATTTCAGTTTAGAAAACCAGTTAATTCCATCAGTCTTTAGTCACAAAAAGTATGGCTGATAGTCAAACATACAAATCAGGCTTTCAGTAAGTAAGAAGAACAATTAATCAATCATATTGAGACGGACAATTAAACGCTGTTTTGTGGTTCAGAGTTAGATGAAACATCTCAGTCTCATTTTGGTTGATCTAGAGAAGAATAAATTTAAAGGCTGAATTAAAATGTTACTGAGGTGGAAATGATAGTGAAAACTTTGAAATATTTTCTATTTTATAATAACTTCATGCCAAAAAGATACACATATAAACTTGATGGAATTATAGCTATCTTAGGCATTTATCAGATTGGGTCGAAAAACTATGCTTTATTATAAGTGATTTAAGTTATATTTTTACGATTACTGAGATTACTCACATAACTTCGTTGTTTTTAAGCCTCGTTTATCTATTTAAAGAAGTATACTTAGTCATAACTACTGTGCTGCAACATTATTAATTATATCATCTCATGAAGAGTTTTTTATAGGAAGTATATTAACTCATACTTATGATAAAGAGTCCCCAAAATATGCGCTTCGATATCTACACCATTGTAGTTCTCTTCATCCATCATTAGACTGTCAATAAACTTATGTAATTTAGTGACTGGGACAGATACTATTTAATCCACTTGTTTAATGTTTCCGGTTTATCATATAATTTAGTTAACGCGAGTAGATTTCGATGACTTCAGTACCGAATATCTTATTGATGCTAATTAATAAGATACAATGAATCTAGTACTTTTAAGACGTCCTATTGAACTAGTCACATTTTACAACGTCATTCTCATATCATGAGTTTTATAACAATTACACAGATATGACAATATAAATAATTCTTTATCTTTCATATCAAACATTATTGCGGATAGTCCCAATGATAGTATACTAGAAATAAATTTAATTATCAGAAATTCGTTCAGTAGAATATAGATACTATATACATTTAAAAAGTGATTGAGATTTTTATGATTAAGCAAAGTTTTCGATTTACAATAGTGACATAATGACGAATATCGTATGTTTGTGTTGATGTCTAGTTTGTATGTATGCATGTATAAATCAGAGGGGTAACTGTAAGATCAATGAAAATACAGAAGATAACTGAAAAAGAATATGACAGATTGCACGATTTTGTCTAGTTATACTCCATTTCCGTAGGTTATTTACTAAAAACCATATATAATTGTTAAACTATTTGACACCTGGCTAGTGAGGTGAGAGAAATAAGTTCCCCATTAATTTCATTTTATGTTATTATATTATTTAATTGGAAGCGTATTTCTAGTTGGTCCGGGGCAGTGTCTATGATATAAGTGTAAGTCATCCATTGCACCATAACGACAAGGTGGTAAGATGTAAGAACCATTCAATGGTAATGGAATTCTGTAAAACAAAGAAAATTGTGAAAATCACAACACATGAACAGTATAAACTTGATGTATTCTTTCTAGAAAGTCATGTAACTATGTTTCTGTTTAAAGACATTAAATACTTTTTTATTATTACTATTATTATTTTACAGACTCCATATTAAAATTGTAAGTAACGTCACAAAGCTATTGCCAAACCAAGTCATATTCTAAGGTAACCTTGTTTGCTATTCAATGGTTAAACATCATTGACAAAAACACCCACATAATCCGATTCTTTGTCAAGTCCTACAGAGTTTAATCAGTTTGTTTAGCATTTATAGAAGCATACATATACTCAAATATATATAATTCACAACTAATCATCAATCTATGCATAAAATGCTGAAGATATGCTACTACTTCCCAAACCGGACATCTAGCCATATGACTTCTACCAATACACTAAATAATCCCAAAGTTGTAGTCACTGTCACGTTTGTCAGATCTATAGCTCTGATCATATTTTATAGACCAATCTGTAATTTTATCACCAGTTTGTAAGTGTTCTTTCTTTTGATTAAAGGTGATCACAGGAAATTGGTACGAAGAGATGGGTCTAGTTTTCATGATAGTTGATTCACAGGAACAAGGAATATCTACAGTCTTTCAACTATTACCACTAAGCTATTCGAGCCACATCCCACCTTTAAATACATGACATAATAGGCTATAGAATAATAAGGAGAGTTCACTTATTGATGACTAAAAACAATTTACTGTAAAAGAATACTTACTCATCAGCTGTGAATTGACGTTTCCCTTCCAACAATTCAAAACATCGTTTATCATTCGGTTGACATACACATGCACAATCTGAAAATGTGTGCATAATAAATTTCAGTGGAGGAATACATAGTCGATTACTGCAGCTATATTTTTTATTATAATCCGATTGTAGGGGTATGTGAGAAAAATTTAAAAAATATTTGGAAGTTAATGAAGTTGATAAAGTAGATATACTGTCAATTATATCATATAAAAAATGAACTTTCAATTGAATGTTTAGCTTGATCTTAATATTGAGCTAATAATCCTTCATCACATTTCTGAATACTTAATATTTTCTAATTGTAATAGAAGAAATAATCTGGCACCGAAGAGCTTATCGATAAGAATTCCATATAGTTCATAAATTCATGTGTCCATGAAACAAGTTTTTCTAAACTCTTAGTCTGCTTTTTACATCAAAGACTATTAGCTTGGAAAAGTAATATGAATAACTGTTATCTTCTCACTCATTATTTATGCCTAATAGGCATGTTTAAACGCCAAATAACTAAAAAGATAGATAAAACCATCATTATTGTTTTCATAATAACCTAACAGAAGTAGAGATTCTCTATTTATTAATTTTACACATCTCTTTTAACATACAGTCGTATTACGAAGTTACACACATTAAGAATTAATATAAACAAAATGTAATTTTGTTAGTAAACACCAATTAATGTCTTTAATAACATGATAAGCTATGCAACTGAATATTAGTAAGTAAAATCAAAGTTGGATATAAACTTATTCCAAAATGAAGTTGCCTTCCTCTTTTTAAATTTGTTATATTTCTATGATATTTGTACGAATTAATTATTCTTTTGTAGTTGATTGCCTGTTGATTAAGAATTCCAAATACAATACATTGATTTGTGTAAATCTAGTTCTACTTACAGTAAATGACACTATTCCAGGAATTCCTAGTTGGTACAATAATTTGAATAATTCTAATCATTATAATTTCCTTTTATTTCAGTCTGTTAAGTTTATCTGGCAAATAGGATCACAATTTAAGTTCATTAATACTGTTTTATTCTAAACATAGTTCTAAACAGTTGATCTTAACCATAAAAGTAATATTAACACAATCAAAAATTTATTTTTTAATATCAATATACACTTTGAAATGATAGATATATTGTGTAATTGTGATGATTATGAGTATTTGCATTATAGTACAAATTAAGAATCTCAGAAATAACGCAATTTAACCAAGTAGTATTAGATGAGCACGGACGAATGTATTGTATTTGGAATACGAAATCAAGCAGTCAACAAGTATAATGGAATCATTAGTTCATACAAACATCACAGTAATTCAAAAATGAATTCATTTGATGTTGTTAGATTATTCGAATTGAGTGGTTTAATCATGAAGTTACTACGATATCATTGATATTAACTTCTAGTTGGCGAACAATAAAACTTTTACAATAACATCGAATAAGCAAAAAATATTCTATGGATTCTCCACAACTGCTTACAACCTAAAACCCATCGTATTAATCATTGAATATAAACAAGTATGCATATTTTATATTGGAAACGTCTAGAATAAATTGAGTCAGTTATTTAGAAATACAATAATATTCAGAAAAAATAATACAGAAGTTACATTTTTGTCCACATTTTAATTCAATTTATTCCAAATGTTTCAGATATAAAGGATGTACATTTGTTTATTTTTAATGATCAATATAATGGTTTTAGGTTGTAAATAGCTGTGGTGAATCCACAGGATAATTGGATTCATATTATTATGCCATAATATATGTTCCTTCTTCTTATTCAAGTTTATAAATGAGAAAAAATTGTATCAGACAAATAGTAGATTCAGTAAATAATTAAAAGTATTTCAAAGCCATCTTGAACATAGACAACAACTCAACACAACATTATATTTATCAGTATTTTGTTATATAGTGGAATCATAGTAAAAATAGGTTCTGGGTTCGAACCCCGTCGGGGTGGGATCGTGGATGCTCACTGCTGATACGTCTCACAATAAGACAAACTGCTTGTTCAGTGCTTTCAGGTTTTCCATGGTGATCTAACTTCAATTGACTCATGATCTCAACTATTAAATTGAAATATAAAAATGAATAATAACACAAATCATTGGTTTACATATTCTTTTACGTCTTAACTGATGAATATGAAGTAGTGAGCATATTTTTCTTTCACTAATTGTTGATTAGTAAAGGGAAAGCTTAGTTTGTAAATTCTAATGATTGTACACTTGTGATTTGTCATAAATGGAATCCTAGAGATTTGTGTGGAAATCTACCTCTCAATGAATCGAATCAAATTAGATCTACTGATTAGTAGCATTTCTTACCCTTAACCATTAAATAGATTCACAGATAACTCAACCTAAGAATGTTCAGCAAATTAGTAGTTTTAATAAATTTCATATAAAACTCCTATTCATAAAGTGCTTGATTACTGAATTCAAAAATTAGCCACATTAAATATATATATATATATATATATATATATATATATATATATATATATCAGTTTTTCAGTAAACACGTGAACTAAACTACTACTTATGGAAATACGGCCAATAACATAATACGTAAACCCCGATTATTCTGAGTCAGTCCAGGTTTAGTAGCTATCCTTTTTCTTGCAGTCAATCGATGGAAGCTGTAATTTCCCTAAACATTTTACCGTTACTCCGAAGTACTCATGTGTTTCTTGTCACTAGCCATTTTGACAGTCATGGTGTTGTCAACTACGAATTTCTTGGTGAATATCATCTTCTACGTGAAGATACTTAGGGGCTTATAGGAGTGAATGAAACGAAACTTGTGTAGTGGACGGTCACTGAGTCATGGTAGTCCTCTTGTAGATTCAACAGGGAATATCTACGTATGACTCAGTCATCAATCTAGATCAACGTATGTAGGGTGATTTCCTTTTGTTTCTAAAATACTTAATACTGACACTAAAGTTTTAAACATGAAGACAAATGAAAAGTATGACTTGCTAAAACTTTCATGAATATTTTTAACAAAGGAAATGAATATAGGATAAGACTTTTCGTAATTGAGGGCATTTTTTAATGGATTAGACTGGTATATTCTTAATTTAATAATATTAAGTTGGTATAAACTCTATCTCAATATTTCTTAGATTAAAATACATGTTTAATTTTTATCAACTTAATTTATTTTATATAATCAAACTAACCGTGGTTGACATCCACACTGTAAATGATTTGTTAATGCAATCAGTTCAGTTGAATGAGTAAAATTTCCAAATGGTACAATCTAAAATTGTTTTTTTTTTAGGAGAAAGACATTGAATTAAAAAATTTTTATTTGAAGTCAATCAATCAATAACACTTTAATATAACAAGAACTAAATCAGTATATCGAAAACTGCTAATCTATGTTAGTCGTTGCCAACTAAATAAATATGCAATCGTGGAAAAAAAATCCTGGGTTCGAATTCACGTCTTACAGGAGCTCGAATGAAGAGATTGCTTAGCTATTGATGACGTGGTCAGAAATTCTCGCGAGAATATATATAACAGAAATACTCGCCGTTCAGAGTTACCAAAACATTATAATATGAATTATGGATGATAGGTCTGCAGTATATAAAAATAGACGTCATTGAACGACAATCACACACCATACATACATCCCTTATTTTAGTCAATAAGTGATATCTAGTAAACTAGTAAATACCCGGCTGATTCGGGCCCTGAAAGGTTTCATTTCTGGACGAATTTGAAATGACTGCTTTTTTAAAATTAGAAGTTTACTAGTGAATTTCATTGTTTTCATTTCTGGATAGATGCTGAAAACTATAGAAGTCCAAAATAAGGACTGTTTAACCACTTCAGAAATACATATTTATGTACAAGTATTTCACTATGCAAAGAAAAGGATACAATTAATCTGTAATTATAACAGTGAGACAAGATTACTCATTAAAAATTAGTAAAAGTGATTTATTTCTATTGGTTGTTTGAATATCCTGATTTATGTTTAGGACTGTAATTGATTAGTCGCTTTTGGGATATGTACATTCTGCATGAATTATCTCAATATTGACTAAAGTCGCAAGAATTATGATCAGAGATAAATGGTGGCTAGCAATGGAAACAAGGACATGCGTCCCATCCTATTTGTAACTGCTCCATAGTTTGTGTTTACTTCAACAATAATAATTTCTTTATTGGCTTAACCTTACTCATAAGTAGTATGATTATATATTTTGGAAACTAATAAGCTAAGGTTTTAAAGTATAAGTTTGGTAGATAAGAATGAAACAAAAAATATGAGGATTAATCACTGTCCTTACTTGCATCACAGCAACTGCAAATGTTTTTAATGAAACCTTTATAGGTAAACATTCTTCTTCAAGTGTTTCACAATTACAAGATGTATACTGATTTCGATCATTTAATATATCTAAATATTGGTCATCATAATTTACATGACTATTAGATGAAGATGATGAAAGCGGTGTGAATTCTGATCTCTCATAATCATATTCTTCATCATAATTTGAAAATGAATTTGTGTAATGATTACAACGTGAAATTTCTTGTTGACCACATCTTTGAATGTGTATACCACGTGGTATGATAAGAGCTGTATGATGATGATGATGGCCATGATTTGGTTCTTGGTGTTGTTGTTGGTGATCATGATTGAGACGAAGAAGTGCTTCTGTACATAGTGTTCGATTCTGTGGTTGGCAAGATATCATTTTGAATTCTTGATAATTTTCAAAAGCTCGTCTTAATTCATCTTCCGAATCTACAGAATAAATATATAGTTGAATTTTAACTATTATTGTATTATTATTATTACTATTATTGACAGGAATAATATATTAATTAATACAATGATTTGGTTCTTACGAAAAATGATCTTAGATTTGTTATTCCAAGTTATCAGATCGATCTTAGTAATTGTTAACAGTTTTCAGTTACCATGTCTACATTTCTATAAATAGTCGTTGAAAATTGAACGAACAGTTTGACAGAAGCTCTATCCAGTGTGCTTAGCAAAATGTTGAAGTATTTCAAATATGATTTTGATTTATTTTCTCATGTTTCAAAGTTTTAACAAGAATTCAACCAGGAAAACAGTAAGATAAACTGGTTAATGTTAATATGTTTGTATGAATGTTACATAATTAGAAGTTTGTGCAACACATCTAACTGCTTTATTCATCATAAAAATGTGATATTTGAAGTTACTTAAAATTCAAAGATGATCTTTTTGATGAAAAGTTATATGAAAACAAAACCTAAACTCTATCATTCTACTCCAGATGATTCGATAGTTAGTCATATTTTATACATGAGAAATTTAGGTCATTCGTATCTTTTTAATTGAATTTTTAAACTGGGAGATTCTACCATAGAATGCCTCATTTGATAATGAGATTTGTATCTCTATTTGATGGAAATGACTTGAATGAGTACTTAATGAAATCAATTTACTTACAACTGTATAATTGATTAGAATTTACTTTGGAAATACAATTCAAGATTTATTGGAGCTGTCTACCAGATCCTAAAGCACTCAAAGATTTAATTGTACAATACCATAGTGCTGTTTAAATCATCCTAACTCGATTACCTTATTAAGGCTTTTTATGCATGTTTTAAAAAAACTAATGTCATTATTTGGTTCAGAGCATTGGCAAAGAACATACCATTGTAACAGTGAATACAAGAATCAAAGATATTCATCGTAAATAATTCACTACTTGTATAGTTTACCATTAAATAATGTAATTTAACAACTTGTTTCTTTAAACAAATAAACTATTGATTTTTTAAAAATATTTAAATATTTGATTGAACTGGTGACTAGTTTTGGAATTGAACATGGTTAAACCCAATCGAACAAGTTCTGTAACATATATAACCCAGGTAATCCATTGTAGAAATCAAAAAAGCATACAAGACATAGAAACTAGACAGAGTCAGTCATAAAATTTAGCATTTAAAATACTTTTATTACTTAGATCATGGCTTGTTTGACGTCAGAAATGCATTTTTCTCTACTTACGTTATCACTAATCAATGATACATTCAATGGTATAGAAAAATGAAAATATACTTTTTATCATAAATTATTTTATCTCCGATTTAGAAAACTATTCGACGTATTTATATAGCTATCATAAAGCTATCACATTTCATTCAATTATTTATATAAAATCAGCAATAGTTGATCGAACTTTGCGTAATGAAACAATATGATATGAATTGCTTCTTAAGATAACTTTCGAAATACATTGATACTGGGTTGCAAAAAATAAAGTAATGTGATACATTACTTTATTTCTTGCTGAAGTAATGTTTTCATGGTGTCTTCACTATATTAAGTAACTGAAAATTGTTGTATACAACTTTCAGATTTAAACGGTAGGAAGCTATAAGCAACAAACCCGTTTGGTGGAATATATCATAAAGGTGTATGCGTAACCTGGATGAGATCGACAGAATTTTCTGAGACTCACTTAGACAATCTAACCTAATTGTAGCAAATATGACTACTCTGAAGTAGTGACATCGAATCATGGGTAACTCATATTTAAATCTCGATGCTTAAATACTACATTCCTTAAAACGATAGCATTTGTCTCAGACTTCTTGATATATAAATGAAATCCCTAGTTATATATAGGCTATGATATCCCTAACCACGTTACTGTTATATCATACAATAGATTTTACATCAGTAACCGTATCAGTCAAAACTACTGAACTATACAGATCACAAAAGAGTAAAAATGAAACTATCACTATTATTATTATCATCATCAAGACATGACTTACATGACTCTTCATTGGGATATCCCCCAGAATCGATTTTCACTTCATCGGATTGTAGATCTTTTGATAATTGCTCATTCGTTTTACTCAAGATATGTGAAAATTCTGTTGCTAAATTTATTTTCAATGGACTTTGTTTATTATTATTGCTACTGTCAGGTACAATTGCACGACCTTCACGATTATTTATCTTTCGTAGTCGTAAACTATCCGCAAATATTCCTCCACCAATTCCACCAGAAAATTGTATATCATTTAAATTTGAAGATGATAATGATTCTTGAATTTTTTGTCGTTCTGTTAATGATTGTGAATCTAAATGTGAATTAATCGTCTTTTCATTATATTCTCCTCTATTATTAATACCATTACTTTTAACACCTTTAGAACCAATGATAATTTTTTTGAAATCATAAAAATTCTGTGCTTTCTTAAATTGTTTTGCTTTTTCATTGGTAAGCATTGTTGAAAAATGCCGTAGATAACGATGATATTCATCAAGACGTCTATGCTCTTGTTTATGACGCAACATTTTCAATTTTTGCTCTCTTTGAATTTGTACTTGTTGTACTAATTTGAAACGTTCCCATTCACGTATCAAATTGAATGCCTTTTTTAGGGAAAAAATATTCTTTTTGTTTGATAGTGAACCAATTATGAAATAAGTCATTTCTAGTAGTTATTGAATAATAAATCTACTTAAGTTTGCTGATAAGTTATTTAATAGTAGAATGATAGTGTTCCTCACCAAAACTGAATGATCAATTTTGTATATGAATATTCTGATTAATGTTCTATTTCAAAAGACTTTTGTGTCTCGAGATCTGACTCCATTTAGATCGTATGAATCATTGTTTTCAAAATATACATCCTGGCTATCCTCGTATATAACTATCGACTTAAATCGCGTTAGTGAATAACGGAATTAAATAAGTCAAATAGGAGAATGGATTTCGAATACGTATATTGTGTATAATCATTGATCGGAACAGACAATCAGAGAAACGTAGAGAAGGAAGCGAAGATAGCGAAGCAAAATGACGCGCGATAGAGAAGTCGTGTGATCCGACTCCATTTAATCAAGTGTTAGTCGATATTTATAGTCGGATATAAATAAGTTACAGACATGTGATGAATGATATAAGAAACGCACACACATACGCTTACATTAAAAGTCAAGGTTGATAAGCGAATAATTAACAAGGTCAAAATGTGATTCAAGAAGAATAAATAAACTGGTCTGTCCGAAAGCGAGAATAAGTTGTGTGGGTTCAACATAGCAACCGATAATACAGAATTATGAACTTTCTTCTTGTTGATTTACATCAACTTTAATCTGAATTTATGTTATTCATCTCTTATTATTACAATTTCCTGATTTGTTTCAACTTAACTAACTAATGTATACTAGTCTTTATTGTTTCCAACCCTGATTACTTGTAATTGTTTACAGTGATTACAATACTATGAAATAGTATTCATTCATTTAATGAAGTTAGTTTTGTTTTTCTTACTAATGTTCCTCCATATTTCAAAATAATCTATCAAAATAAACAAGTGAACAGAACAGTTAGTGTTAACGATTATATTTTCTAGATTTTCTATGGTGAATTATTGTTTCCATATAGATCAATTGGATATCAGACTAAATTTAATAGAGCGTTTACCTAGTAGTTAAATGGTTTAAAACACTTTTTTGTCATATACTCTATGCTATCTACATGTGTTTGGATAGACCTCACAAGAATTGAATAGTTTAAAGCCAAGTATACTGATCTGTGCCATAGTGATGATTTTGATTTCTATTAATTGAATTTTAAACTAATATCTAACCACTGATAGAATCAAGTTCATTCGTTCTAGTTTGAAACTCTAAACAAAGCTCTGTTGCTAGAAACAACAACAAAATCTAGTCGATTCACTACATAAAGATAAATGAAACAATTGCTTACATGAAAAAAATGACAGAAAAACTAAACACTATGATTTGTTTATCACTTGTCGAAAAGGTTTGTTATTTGTAAAAGATAAATTGGTTTTATAGTCACTAGCAATATTATGTAGTTCATTTGAATTCATAGATCTCTTGATAACTCTGCCTCTGTTTCCCTCAATTACGTCAACCTATCTTTACAGATGTAGTTATTATCACGAATCGATAAACATACATCACTATTCTCATGATTAAAACTCAAATCTAATATTTTTCCCAATCAGTCAGTAGAAATGAAACAAATATTAACAGTGACATCAATTACGTCTCAACATTTTACAACTGCATTTTATAGTGTAGGAGTAGGTTGGAAGAAAGCTAGGGGCAGCAAGACTAAATCATGGCACAAATTCTTGAAGTCACTGACAAGTGAACTGAGATATGTTGATAGGTGTAGACTATCTGGTTAGGATCCGCGAGACGATAACAACCGATGGTTAGAAACCATGAATGACATAGATCAAAATCCTTTGTAAGGGCGCAGGTGCATCCACTCTTTGTGTTCTCTCAAATTGTAATCTTCTGAATTCTTCATGTCGCCTTTTTTTCTCATTCCAAATTTATGTCACTAGATTATAGTTCTTGAATAATATCTTCAAACCCTAATCTTTCCGATTACTGCTTGTACTTTTACTACCTCTACCACTATGGAATTCGAATCAACAATTGTATCTCTGTGCTAGTGTGGTATGGCAACTCAAACTGATGTACATGCGTACGAAGTTCTACGTTGTTGCTGACTGACTGACAACTATGTTTCTTGTTAAATATCACTTTTATTTATAATGATATAACTTAATTAATGAAGAGGTTATAAGGTGATAAATTCTCTTGATGAAAAATCCAAATTATATTATGAAATTTGTTTCATATCTTATAGCTTTCACATATCATAAATAACAAGTAAGTACATACATATTACTAATCTTGTTTAAAACGAATATCTTTTATTTTGTAAATTAGATTCTCATCATCATAAACTGACATCTGTTGGTAACCTATTTCTTTTATGTTCAGACATTTCATTAATGTACACTAACTACTATCATATAATATTGTATCTGGGGAATTATTTTTTTAAAAAATTTCGATTATAATTTATTTTATATTATTCAACCTGATTAAGCACGATCCTGTTTATTTTCTTAGTTCAGTTATAATTTCAAATAATTTGCCTAGTTTTGTCTATCAGACAAAATAAATACAAAAATTCTAACTACATAACTTATGTTTTTGTTATTCTCCTTCTTCTTCTTCTTCTTCTTCTTATTATTATTATTATTATTATTATTATTATTATTATTAACATAAATCTTAATTTATTATTCCATTTGCATGGTTGGATATACTTTTGTTTTGTATGTTTCTTCTAGTAGTGAATTCATTTTCTAATCAATTCTTATTCAATTACCTAACCAATCAGTCTATTGAATGATCAATAACATTTTTGTAAATTGTATTCACTGTTTTTAAAAAAATTTCTATATATTCCCTTGCCTAGATTATCTTTTATTTTTATCTGAATAAGCAGAATAATAAATTGGAGACAAAATTATCATATTGTGTTATATTATCTCTCTAAAGAATAGAAACTAATCAAAGGCGTCTATAGACATATTGTTTATACTCTATACATATATATATGTACATTTGGTAATCGACAAAGACCAACTAAGTATACTGAATTGTATCCGAATATTTTAGAAAAATATAAAAAAAAGTAGAAGTAACATTTTTCTTCTCTAATGTTAAGATACTTTTTTGTACTGGTTTGTGGATATCTGAGTCAGATAGTTCATTATCTTCATAAACTACATATTTAGTGGTTTAATCTTATACATTTGAATTGATGACTGATGAATTCACAAAATAAACTGATAGAATAATGACCATTTATTCTCTAGTGATCAGTTTCTTGATGGCTTCATCAATGTTGTGATTAGAAGTGTTTATCTATGATGTTAACTAGTGAATAATAATTTTATCTCTAAAGTATTATTCCTCAAATTTATGATGACTAACTTACGCCTGTTACTACTTGTGAAGGAACATTCTCCATCCAGAAACGCTTAAAAATGAAGACAATAAAATAGAAAAGTAATTAACTTACCGTAATCAAATCTACTGATGTCCGATTATATCGTACAAATTGAAATACAAAGTTAAAAATATCATTTTCAACATTGTATGCGATAAATGATTGACTTGTCAGCTTTCTAGGTCTTACTGATGTTCCAAATTTAGTTGATTTTTCTTTTCGTGAATTCTGTAATCCATAAGTTAATGGTAAGGATGATGTTGAAGATGATGATGATGTCAGTGAGATATAATTGTAAGGATCCTTCTTTCGATTAGCTACTAACGGCGAAAGAATATAATGTGCCACTGAAGGAACATGACGTTTTTCTCGTTCAAGTAGTTTACTGACATTAATAAATATAAATGGATCATTTGTAGTATCACTATTGTTGTGCACATCCGAAGCACTTCTATTCCGATAACTTACATTCCGTGATCTTTGTTCTGAATTCTGATGGTCTAATTTATGATTAATAACATTATTATTATTATTCCGTCCAAGCTTTATAGTTTGCTAAATTTAAAACAAAGTAACACCATCCAATTACATGACTTGCACTTCATTTTAGATGAACAAATAATCGAATAAAAATATTTGGCTTAACAGGAAATCAATCAAACAAACTAGAAATTTCTGATTCTCAATACGGAAGTCATCATTGTAAAATCAATCTAAATGATAATACTTGACACCTAACATGGCCTAATTCATCATTTACAGTTATGATAGGTTGTAAGTTGATTGACTAGTTATTTCAACCTAGTAGTCATGAATTTTCATTGAAGTCATATAACTCAAATGAGATTTTTCCTGAAAGAAGAAAACCGCATACTACTAAAATATCGCCCAACACAAAAAAGTAGCGTTTATCAGTAATTAATTTATGTGCCATAATTTTTGAAGAAATTCTGTTACTGATTGAATGTTAAGCTATACTTGGAGAATTGAAGACAAATTCATAATAAACGATTTGTTTACTAGCTATGATTATTTAGTAAACCAAACAAGCTAGGGCTTTATAAGGAGAGATGGATGATGGCTTGCAGTGGAATCCAGGAAGTACGTTTCGTCCGATTCGGGACCCGACAGCCAAATATACATGCATCCCAGAGTTAAGTTACAATCCACACAACATGTACATGTGCCAAAGTGACCGATCAATTCCGGTCCTAAGCATAAATGATTTAAACAAGCAAAGTAAATGAATTAAACTAGGGTTTATCTAATGTTATTACATGATACATAAAACACAATTGTCCACTTACTACAACTCCTTAGTTTTTAAATAATTTACTCTTAAAATTTCGTAATTGTATTACTTTTAGAGGATGTGATATTGAATGGTTCTGTGAGTACATATAATTCGCTGTTATTTACTTGGTGATACTAGGCTATACTTCACATTACTTGCTTAATTCTTATGGATTGTCATTTTAATTGAGTGACCTTCCATGTACTAAATAAACCATACCCAAAGAACAGCTTATTTACGGGTTAAATGAAAGTACCTGATCTCAATGATGCAATGGAAGTAATCCTATAAAGGCAACAATAATTGGACGTCATAAATAATTATCAGGCAGTTCCAGTTTAATATTTTTACACTGCATTACACTGAATATATATACGTTTGTATAGCATAGGTACTTGACAGGAGAAAAGGATTACTAAAATCAATAATTAGTTCAGATAGGTTTCTGAACTCATTTAATAACCATTAATTTAGTGCATGTCTGTAACATTTTAAATAATTCGATCGTATATTTAACATGTCCAAAATATAATTCTGAAAAGATAGAAAAATTAAATCGATGAGAAATGTAAGACAGGCAATAGTAGTAATAAGGCGAAAAATAGTGTTATCATATTACCATAAAGATTAAGATGAAAATCAATATTATCAAGGTGGGATTAATGTAACAATAAACTGTTTCTAAATACATGGGAAAGGATTAAATGGTTCCGTTACCAAGGTATCAATAAATCTGGGTATTATTCTCTAATCAGTTCCCTTTGATATTTTCAACATAAAATAACTTTCGATGCACTTGCTTTTGCAGTTACTTAGGGAGATTTTTAACTATCCTCAATTGTATTACACACTTAGTCATCATGGTAAATATGGTTATCGACACTGAATTTAATATGTAATAACCGTTCATATACTTTCTAGTTTATGCTCAAAATGGAAATTCAGTATTCACATTAGTGATGACCTCGCAAATACCTAGTTAATTATTCATTTAAAATTAAGACTACATGCTTCACATATGAATGTCAAGATCACCGAGATATCATTGTGAGGAACAGAATACAATTATTCAAAAATAAAAGTAATTTTAATTACATACTAATATCAACTAGAGAGATTAAAAAAATTAGAAGTATTTATACAACATTTTATTGTCTTCAGACTATTCAGAAATGCTAAACCTCGATTTCATTTTGGGTCCTGAGCTGAGTACGAATTACATTCAACTGCCGAATGAAAATTTAAGGTTACATTACATGCTTTCAGTTAATTGGTTCCATAGAATAAACACTATTCAATATCATCAATGTTTAATTCTAAATCATTCAATTCCACAAAAATTCCGTTAATGTCTCTAGAAACTAATTTCAAATGGGCCTACAATTATTATTGAGTTGATTACTTTGTAAAGGTTATCATATTATAGAGTTTATATAGTAGTAAATATAATAATTCATAATCCTACATAAGTGAATAATATCACACATTTTTTCAAAGTTCAATTAGGGTTTGATACTGATGTTTGTTTTATCGTAACAGATAACCATTAAATCTTCTCCAAATTTAATACTTTGATGTATTCTTGAAATGTTTACTATCGGTTACTAAGACTACTTAACAACTAAAGCTAATTTATTATCGATGATTTGTATTTCCCCGCTATTAATAATCAGGATTACAATCTATCAATATCTACTCGCATGTATGTCTGTTTTATTAAAGTAATGTACAAAAATATACGTTACATGTGACTTAATTTCTAAAATTACATTCAGTTATTTAAAAAAGAAGAAAATCAAATTACAAAATATCAGTCAGTTAAGTGTTCGAAAGAACATGAAATAAATTTTTTTTTGAAAAAAACTTAATTTGGAATAAGACTAATATTCCACTATTATTCTGAATGTATAAATAGTAGATCGATTGAAACGATAGTAAATCTAAAGTGTTTAATACATTTGTTACTCACTCCGATATACTACACATTATGAAATAGGGGTAATTTGAATAAATTCTAGGTAGAACCGTTTAAATATCAACTGTATCAAAGTACAGCGACATGTATTTGTATCATATTCTACTGTAGTGTACGAGAACACAAGTGAGGACAATCGAATGTACTTGAATACAAAATTACAGAGCATCTTAGTTAAATCTCAAAACCATACAGTAAACATTTCATTTGCAAAATGTCAGTCAATCGTTTCAGACTTCGCTGTTCTTTCATTTTCATACTAATCATTCTTTGTTCTCGTTCTCTTTTATTTGATTTTCTTAACCTTCTGCCTTCAGGCATTTCATTTTCGATTGATGATACATACTACTTATATCTGTCGACATCAGTAGCACACACCACACTACTTTGTTTGGAAACAACTAATAAGCACTTTGTAGTTATGTGCTGATAAATATTCCTGAATAAAAATATTCTGTCTATATATATATATATATATATATATATATATATATATATATATTTGACAATGTTAACAGCCTCTGAGTAGAATCATATGACTATTTGTTTTAAAATGTCATTTATTCATAAAAGTATCCTGATTTCGTTATGTATGTAAATTATATTTGAAATAATCTACATATATAGAGACTTCTCTATATTCAGCGCCCAATTTCTGTCAAACTATTCGTTCTAATCTTGTCGAATATTCGTATAAATATCCTGATTTCGGTTTGCGATTAGAAGATAATTTCACATTGCATGATGATTTAGTGGTTACAATTTAAAATCCCCTCACTTTAAGCAACCAAACTAAAAAAGACCATGGGACTATAATTTATCGATGACCTTTGAACAACGCTAAAATGACCTTGAAAATGTTCATCTTCAGTTAAATAAAGGTCACAGATTAGTGTGAGAATTAGAATTCGGATTTATAGTTGAAAGTTAAGAATAGAAATTAGATTCAGTGGTTTCATCACGAAATGACATAATCTATAATGCTGAAATAGTATTTAGCGAAAAGGAATGAATAAATTTCAAGCCAAATTCTAAGATCTACTATCTTAAATAATAACTGATTTATCCATAAATTATAGTTTCACTGATAAAACATATTCTTACTATATAAACAGATCTTTATAAAAAAAAATAATAATAATATGATTTCTATTGATAAACCACTGTGACTTACCGTGATATTTATATTTCCTATTTCTTTATTATTATTATTATTACTATTTGTTTTATATACTTTTTTCATTAATCTATTTTTAAACCAATCAAAAGTTTTAGAATTTTCTAAAAAATTTTGTTCGATTGGTAATTGTACCATTTTTGATTTTTTCACAATTTCTGTTGCATAATATTCATTATTATTATCATTAATATTTTTATTGATTATTTGTTTATTATTTTTCCATTTAATATTTGGTTCATATTTTAATATATTTTGTCCATTTATATGAGATATATTAAATTGAATGATGATTACAAATATATATAGATATAGAAATATTGAATATTGTTTAATTTGTTTAAATTTATTAATTAAACAATTAAATAAAACTTCTTTCATGAACATTTGTTTATTGAATATAAATTTGTTTTATTTTATTAAAACAACATTAAAATGGAATGTACAGAAGAAAAAAAAGTAAATGTTGATGAACTTTATTGATAAATAAAATAAAATGACTTTTTGTTTTGTTTTTGCCTTTTTTTATTATTGACTTTTAAAATAAAATGTGCTGTAAAGAGGTAATCATAGAAACAATGTGTAAATGGAATATATTTGCTAGTGAATTTTGTTTTAAGTTTAATTAATATGCTAAGGATTAGACAATAAATAAATAAATAAATAAAAATTAGACCATAAATATTTTTAACCAATCAGTGTAGTCTAATAATTAACCAATCAAATAAGTATGTGAATTATATTTGTATAAACTATGAATGGATGTTTGGGATTTATATTCACTTATAACTTTTAATATAGTCTGATGAGAAAATTTAATAGGAAATATAAGCAAAGATGAATAGTGGTTAGCAGTGAATTAAGGAAATATTTAGGTGATACGCACAGGATGCACATGTTTTAATAAGAGACAGATCAATTGAAGTGCTAAACATTAATGAGAAGATTTAAATAAAAGATACAAAATGAATTTAAACTTCACCCCGTTGCACGAGCAAGTGGCTATAAGGACTCAGTGGCTAAGGCGATAAGGCGATGGTGTTTGAAGCGAACGGTACTCAGATCGAATCCTGGAGTGAGCATTAACTCTGGGATGCAGGTACATCTAACTGACGGGTCCCAAATAGGATGAAGCTTGCGTCCTGAATTCCACTGCTAGCCACTATCCATCTTTGCTTATAATGCTTGTGAATTAAGGAAATATCGAAGCAATACGCACAGTATGCACATATGTCAATAATAGACTGATGAATTGCAGTGCTAAACATTAATGGGAAGTGATATGACGGGAAGAAAAGTAAAGATTCGATTGATTTAATCATTATGAGTTTTGTTCAACATTATTCCCGTTTTAATTCAATGTGATGATTACTCAATGTAGTATCTGTTTCTATTTTCCTGTGTGATCTTTTATTCTATGTATAACAGACATTATTCTTGCATTAAATTAACATGAACTGTACTCAGAATATGATTTGTTATAACTCTAAGTACTTTTCATATATGTGATTTCATTCTAATTACTAATCAAAATGGGTGTACAATCAATATATAAATGAGTGTATTTTTGATTAGGGTTGTAGCGGTCATCGTTGTCGTGTTTTGGGGTTTAATGAAACATCACTTATACCAGTCTTTGTGTTCTTACTTTCACATCGTGGGAATTGCCAAGGTCCCTCGTTTCAAGTACAAGTGATAAGCGTTTCCGACATAACAATCAGCGATGACCAGATATCATAAGTAGCGTTCAAACGACAAGACATATCAAGAAGATTCAAGTAAAATAATCCCAAGTGAGTTTAAAAGGAAATATGTTTGTATATTTGAAAGGGTTTTGTGGAGATCACATTAATTTGTGAATTTTTTTGATCACTGATCGATTGCAGTTGAATAATTATTAAAAACTAGGGACGGCTGTTTCGTCCTGGCATGGGGTTCTTCAGAAGTCCTTATCCACTACCCTTCGAAAGATCAAAGTTTAGACATTGTAATTATATATATATATAATTTCCGAAAATGTCTAAAAAATTATATTAGAAACTTAGTGCTTCAGTTTGTTTATTTCAGGAATTTAAGGATTTTTTGAATGGATTACTTCTATTTATGATATCTGCATAGTTGGTATTTACTCACTACCCAAAATCAGTCTAAAGGCTGCATTGCATATTGGCTGTTCACTGATGTCATATCGTAAACGTACGTGGTACGTATTTCAAGGTATCTACATGAAAGCACCTAATATAAGTCCACTGTTAGTATACAACCAAAAAGAAGGTATTAGTACAGTATATTGAAGACTGACGTTCTCTACAGGTTTTAACTTAGGTAACATATCGTTACTGCCAAAGATATTAGGATTAAACTATGTCGTAAGTGCTCCTTTAAATGAACAAAATCCTTATATACTAACTGATAATTTACTGGTAATAAGTATCATGTTGTTTATTCCTTAATGCTGACTGAATTCTATCGATCAAGTTATAGTAAGGTTACCAATCGATATGTTAATGCACTTTGTGGCATCAAATCGACAAATCTTACTAATGTATACTTTCTTTACTTGGTAAGGTATTTTCTTATGCTACTGATCTAGATAATAAATAAATGAAAAGGATCGAAACATTCAATTTTACTAATATGACCTTCTGACCTTATTCAAGATTTGCTTATATTAATCAAAATAAAAGATGATTCACAATCTTCTGTTTTAACTAGCTAAACAGGTTAAGACCATAAGTAGAGTGAAGGAGATAATAACTATTTATTGCATCGGATGAGGAAATACTGTCATTACCAATAATATATATAAATGACCATTCCATTTTGTAAACCACACTAAAACTATCTATTAAATAAATATACTCCTTAAGCTGAGTTTAAAATTTTCACTTTTTAAAATAAATATTAATTTTATCAGAATTGGTGTTCGTGGAGATTGTAGTAATTTAATCATTGAATTAATGAGTCGATTTAAGCTAAGCCACCATGGAAAACCTGGAAGCATTGAATGTCCGTTTCGTCCTAGTATGGGACTCCTCAATAATGCGTATCCACCATCCCGCACGCGGCTTCAAGATGTATTTCCTGGAGTTCTAGTGAGAAACCACAACCAGTGGAGTTCAACCAGGACTGTTATGAGATAGTAACTCACTGAAGACAATGGTGGACGGTGACGCGATCTCGTAGACTGGTTGAAGTTAGACATCTTCAGATGCCGGCTCAGTAGTTTAGAGATTAAGCGTTCGCGCACGAGACTGATAGGTCCTAGGATCGAATCTCGCTAGGTGGGATCGTGGATGCGCACTGTAGAGGAATCACATACTAGGACGAAACGGCCATACAATACTTTTAGGTTTTCCATGATGGCCTAGATTAAATCGACTCATGAATTCAACGGTTGAAAATTAATTTGTCAACCACAATTTATTTCGGTTTTCAAAGTTAGGTAACGTTCAACTTTTTTTGTATCAAATTAAATTAATTCTAATTATAAATAATGATTAAAAGAAAACCTTAATTAAGAAAAATGATCTCTGACATCTCTTGTTTCAGTTCTTGCACCATCAATTAGTTTAAAGGTGCTGATTACTGTTAGATAATAAACGATAAATTAAGGAGTTTCGTCATTCACATTTCATTGATAATTTGCCAAATATGATATAATATCTTTAGTAAATTTACTTAAGCTTAATATTATATACTTTCATTAAATGATTCATGAAATAAATCCTTACCTTAGCTGTACAACAAATAACTTCCTGAAGTATGGACTGATATTATTGTCTAGAATAACAATGAAAGTTTGACAAATAAACCATCCAGATTAGATAACTTTTCTAAAATTCTCCGCTTAAGCTATCAATCTTCATCAATATCATGATTCCTTTCCCAAATTAATCAATTATATAAATATTACATAGACGTATTAGTCTATTAATTTTGATAACAATAGACATTTGTGATAATAGTTTGGTTAACGATGAGTAAGTAATATGAAATGTAAATAAATGAACTGATTAAGTTACATGTGTTGAATTCCGAACGATAATGTTGTATAGTCTAAATCAGTCATATAAACAATAGTTTAAAAATCCACATAGAATCTATTCAAAAATGAAGAATATTTGAGCGAACAATTGTTTTCAATAATTTCATCATCAGGCTCTACAGTTATAAGTCCATAATTATGATATTTTACAAAGGCCAAAAATAAGGCATGTATTAATGAATTTGACAATGTTGTGTTAAAAATGGTGAACGTTTGCATCTGTTACGATATATATACCTCAAAATTGTATTGTTTGCAAACTAGAAAGGTCATTCAATAAAGGTCAGAATGATTTAGAGTAAAGTATCCAGTCACAATAAGTAGAATAGCATTATAGCAAAAATGAAAATGTAAAAAATTGTTTGCATAAAATGTATAGTAGGAGAGTTTAATCTTGCCAGTCGGGATAATAATAATATTGTTGTGTCAATATAATATGTAATAAGGGGGGTGTTATCAAGGTAATCACGATAAACGAATTAGGAATGATGGATGTGAAGATTAAGATAGAAGTAATTAAAAAAAAGGGAGTAAGATGTTTATAATATTCAGTTTAGGTATCCGGTGATCCAGTCGTGGGCCAAGGTAATCCTAGAGGCTGGACACATAAGTCCGGTTTTCTGGAGTTGATCCAGATGGCTTCAGCTGTGTAGAGCAATCGTAATCTAGCTCCTTGAGGTAGATATTTTGGAACTTGATATAAAACAGAGAAAGCTCCCTCTATTTTGATATGATGTTCACTATCTACCAAGTGAGAAAGAATAGTGCTGTTAATCAATTTAGTAACTCCTTTTCCCAACCATACTGGTACATGTTCATGAACATGTAAGGATAAAGCCCTCTGAGTACGGCCTATGCAACAAGCTCCACAGGAGCAGTTGAATCGATATACACACATGGAGGAGCCCATCTTCAGTAACCTATCCTTGATTAGTTATGTGAGTACTAGTTTAGTTGAGAACATTATGTGTAGCTTGGCAGCGTGAAACGTCCTTTCGACATATCTTTTGAGTCGACGTGTTAAAATATCACCCACTATGTCCCCCTTAAAGTCTAATCTCAGGTATAGGGTTATTTTACTGACTGTCACAATTTCTCCCTTTTTTTTAGTGCTTTCTACGAGGTATTTTTTAACGAAATTATCTGGATAGCCATTATTTCGTAATGTGTTTTTTAGTATATCTATTTTGCCATCCACACTGTCTTCAGAACATAATAACTTGATTCTGTGTTTGAGACATTTAACCAAATTTATTTTATATTGAAGAAGTTTGAAGCTTTGGAAATGGGTATACTGACCCATCCATGTACTCTTTCTAAATATATTTCGCTTTATGGA